CAGCAGAGACACTGCACTGGTACGCTGTCAAAGTCTGCAACTGGGACATGGCTTTTTGTTTTTCTCATGCGGGCCTCACATCAAAACACACCCTCTCTCTCTCTCTCTCTCTCTCTCTCTCCCCCCCGTATCCTTTTCTCCCCCTCCCCCCGCCTCCGCTGGTCCTGTCAGGGCCACTCCTCCCCCTGCGCCTTGACTGATGCTGTGAAATCAGGTCAGGCCAGAGAAGACTGCTGTGGGGCGTGTGTACAGTAGCCAAGAAGGAGGTGTGGAGGAGCAGGGGGGGGGGGGGGCCGGGCCGGCCAGCGAGCGGGGGGGGGGGGGGCGAGTAGTGGGCAGACTGAGCCCACGGCAACCGGGGGATGATTCACAAGCAACGCCGCTCCCGCCGTAATGGGTGATTAACGCGCCCGGGGAGGAGCGGGAATCCCGATGGTGGTTCCCCTCAATTCAGAGATCTGGCTCCAAAACCCACCCCGATTGAGCCATTGTGTTCGTCATTTGGTCATTTCTGGGCCAGAGGACCAAATCGGGCCTCCCGGTTTGCTCCGAAATCCTCACCTGAATCCTCCCAGATCCCTTTTTCCACAAATTGAACATGTTCTTCTCGTTGGTTCGTACCACTGTCCCAGATTTCTTTGACATGTCGGTTCAGAGGAAAAGAAAACAAAAGAAAAAAGCCCGCGGGTATGACCTTGGATGTAAGTGTCTATCTTTGTTAGCCCTCTGAAGCATTGACGAGAAACGACCTGCAACCCACTCCCCCTCACCCACCATCACACAGTGAAAAGATACAACATGCAGGAAAAAAATGGATGAAATAACTAAGTCATGGAAGCAACTGGCAAATTTGCTTAGCTATATCCTTTAGTTATTGCTGGCTCAATGTATTTTCTTTGATTTAAAATAAGTAAAACACATCAAAACCAGCTTTTAACTTCAATTCAATTTCAATTCAATTTTATTTATATAGCGCCACATCACAACAACAGTTGTCTCACAGCGCTTTCCAAACAGAGCAGGTCAGACCCTACTCTGAAGTGAATTACATAAAACCCAACAATTCCCACCATGAGCAAGCACTAGGCGACACAGGCAAGGAAAAACTTCCTTTTAACAGGCAGAAACCTCGAGCAGAACCATGGCTCAGGGTGGGCGGCCTGTGTTACAGTCTGATTTTTATGAACTCTTATGCAGTAATGGTGAAACTTGTTTATGGAATTATGGATTTGCATAGTTGCTTAAAGTATTGACTAAAATAAGAAAAGAAGCTGTGGTTGACAGTGTTGATGGGGTAAAAGAAATGGGAAAATAAGATTTAGAAAGACATGTTGTTTGTAAGACAGAGAAAAAAACAACATGTTTTTTGTCAAGGAACGTGGAGTCGAGATTAGACCAGTCTAAGACAAACGGCTTTAAAGTGGCTTTAAAGCCCCGTTAGCAGGAAGTGGGCACAGAAAATGAAATTCGCTCATCAGATTAGACCCCGTTTTGCGAGGCGGTGCTCCCACCTGTGCAGGGCTGGGACTCCCACAGCTGGTCCGGACACTGCAGCAGGTTCTCGGGCTCCTGGGCCAAGACGGCCCGCGAGCGGACCCGGACCGAGCCGAAGTCCACGCCGGCTCCCCGCACGCAGATGCTCACGCACGCACTCCACTCAGACCACTCCATCAGGTAGCACTCGCCTGCGACAGGGAGGAGAGCACACGGGCTAAAAATGAGCGTCGTTAGGAAGAGATTTGGTTGGAATTTCGAATCCCTGTGAAAGAAACATTCGTGGGTTAAATACAGTGTCACCAAATAGTTTTGATGTAGGATTATAGTGGGGTGATAGTGGGATTTACATTAGTTTCACTAAAATGTAAAACAGACAGCCAATCAGAGATATTTCTGTGTTTCCAGCTCTCAAATCACAAATTAACAATAAAGGTAATTAACAAAAAAAAAGTGACAAAAGGAGCTTTGAATTCAGGGCTCAGGACCAAGCAGAGACTATTAGGGGGATGACAAACCCGAGCCGTCCTCTTCCATCTACATAATCATTACACACCGCGAAAAAGAAGACGCCTGACAAGATTGAGCACCCACTCAGTTGTTTACAATGCGGCCTGTGTCTGCTACATTTATTATGCCGTAGGTGTGTGTGTTAACAGAGCAACGTGTAATTACAACAAATGCAGACACCGAAGTCGGCCGTTTAATTTTTAAATTCTTTTTTTTTTTGCTTTAATTCTGCCTCGGCTCGCTTTTTCATTTTCGCTTCACCGGATCAGACTTGGGCAAAAAAAAATACAATTTTTTTTAAAGAAAAACACATGCAAAGCATGCTTTAAAGTATGCATAAGAAACGACCATCCCGCGCAGTGTTCCCTCATAAATATGGGTTTGTGTGAGGGGGGGGGAAAGCACAGGCAGCTCTTTCTGTTCATCTGTGCAGGCCTTCTGCTTGTGGAAACCCTGCCAGAGAAGCTCAAGCGGACGGGGTTCATAATTATCTTAGTATTTACATCTCCATTTACCACTTACTTTGGTACATTTCCCCCCTCGCTTCCACCTCTTTTTGAACCTTGCCGGATTTGCTCGGGGATTTTCATTCGGCGCTATGCAAATGTCTCTGCATTGCAGTTTGAGAGTGGGTGTCTGCAGCAGAAATCTGATCTTTGGCAGAGCGACGCGCTTCCTGTTTATCTCTTTGGTGATGGGGAGTTTTCATCTGGGTGAGACGCGGCGTGGCGGGAGTATTCGCGTTTCACAAACGTAAAGGTGAGATGCTTTGAAGCCTTTCGGGTGAAGGACGGCGTTTGGTTTGGGCCGTGCAGATCGTCACAAAGTGGAGGAAATACAACACGGGTCGAGGATTGGCTCCAAAGTGTGCAACCTGCCAGATTTCCCATGATATGCCCGGTCCTCCACCAGGGCCTTTTTCTGCTAAATCACACTACGGCTGCTCCCTGCACATAAAAACAGCCTCTGCTTCTCATTGCTCTCGGAGTTTAGCGATGGGGTTGAAGTGACTTGTTATCTAGGGCAGCCTCTTCTGAGTTTTCCATCTCAGAGACCAGCAGCGGTTTGATGAGCTCTTTTTTTTCTTTTTCTCCCTCCTACGACAATGAGAAAACCACCAGTGGAAGCACGAGGCTCTCTACCACACAGACTCTTACGGAATAAACGGTTTCAAACCGAGGTGCTTTTAAATGAGGTGTGGGCTGAATAAAGAGGGGCACTTCTCATTTTTGCTTGATGAACAATCACTTATGACTCCGAATAGGCACATTGCACTTTTTTTTTAAATGATGCCAGTGTTTGCATTTTGTCTTTTGGCAGAAATAAGGAACAATCCCTCCCTCGGGGAGTGCTGACACTGAAAAAAACAGCTTCAAATCCAAGCTTTTACCATATGAAAATACACAGCTCTTACAAGGATGCTTTCCCCATTTCAAAACCTTCTAAATTTGCCCTATTTACCGAGAAATATTCTTCCTGACTTCCTGAAACGAGCCGCTGACCTCATGGCCGGAGCTCACCTGTCGGTCAGCTCTGTTCCGCTGCTGCAAAGCTGCCCGCAGTCAACAGGCCTCCATCCCCAAACCTGACAGCTCATCAGAGCCAGCCTTTGAAGTGTTAATTCAAACTGAAGGATTTTTTTTTTCCTTCAGCAGGGGTTGACATTCTTGTAGAGGCATTACCTGTCAATCACCGCCCGGTCAACAGGCTCCAGACGTCTTTTGAATTTGTACTTGTGAAGGAGGATACAAAGTTTACAGCTGCTTTTGTTCGACGCCCTCATGTTCTATTCTCTTCTCGAGGAGATGCGTTAGCGAGTTTAACGGGAGACAAGTGTCTGGTAGGACCTGGAAAGGTTTATTTATCAGGCCTGGACCTTCCTCAGTGTAATCCACTAAAATTAATTCTTATCAATTCATTTTGTTTTAACAAACAAGCTCTGAATCAGTTCAGAATGATATTGTTGAAGCTCTGAGGAGGAATCTATTCCCTGTTTTGTGTGATGCTCTAACTAGGGCCAGTTTTTTGTTAGTTTAAATAGTCATTTGTGTTTGAGGAGCAAAAAGATGGAGAAAGACAAAGTAACAAATCCAGATCTGGTATTTAAACGTAACGATTTTGTGCCAAAATCTGACCCCTGATTTGCCAATTTATGGGAGTACAACGACAATCCAAAATCATTCAGAAGTCTGTTCATTCTCAGAGGTCACATTCAGTTTGGAGGGTACCTGTTGTGTACCTATAATAAAGATATGCTAATCTCTTTAAAGCTAGCATGCAGATTTTCTCACTGTGTTTTTTAGGTGTGTTAGCTCGGGTGCATCCCTAAACGACGGGCGAGCTGTTTGGATTTGCTGGAAGAGAGAGAATCGCGGCAGACTTAATTCCAGCCTACTGCTAAATGTGATAAAACGTATCTCTCATTGTTCTGAACGTTCACGCATTCCCACTGATTCGGCATTTCAGTATCAGACACACGCAGACGCTCTTTCAGGCAACTCGGGCCCCTCTCTCTGTCTGATCCTCTGCAAAGATTTTAAGAGGTATTTGTCAAAAAGGCAACTTTCAGATCAGGTTTATTGGTCTTCGGTAATCAGAAGAAGCAGTGAAATATAATTATTGCCCGGTTTTCCATCACGCGGATGATCCAGAGGCTCTTCAGCTCTATTTTCCTTTTAATAACTACCATAAGGCTTCCATCCATGGAGGTCGTGAGTTTCTTGGTCTGATTAAAGGTGGGATGTGTCTTCGCTGACCGCTCTCCCATGAGTGGGCACTTCCTGACTCCAGGATCTCAGTCAAAAATGGGAGTTCTGGCTAAATTTGGTCCCCTGTGCTCATAAACTCATCCACCTGCCCCGTCAAGAGCTGCTATCAAATCAAAACTTGGCTCCAGACTGACCCCCCAGCCTGTGAATCCTATTCAGGGCGGATGTATCTGCCTTCACCGTCCATACTGGGAACATGGAAGCTGGTGGCAAAGATGGCTTCATGCTGGATTTGTATCAAGGCCTGTGGTCGATTCAGCAGCTTTTGTCGAGTTGAGTTTTTTTAATGACTGTGTTAACTAATCTACCATTCACTCCTTAGCACTTCAGACCTTTATGGTGCTAAACTTTAATCCGTTTGCAGGAAAATTTGCACGGAATAATGGAGAAAGGCCATTAGCTTTCAGGGGTTTATGAAGAGATTCATATTTTTCTGCAATCTCCTTAGACAAACTGTGGTGTTTTAAATGGAGAGTTAAGAGGTGGAGGGTTTTTCCATTCTGCATGCAATCTTTCATGGGATGTTACGGGATTTTTTTCCGTCTTATCAGCATCAAGACGGCTTCCATTGAAGCTTCCTAAGATGTGTGAATCAAGTGAAGCTGAAAGTTTTAGAAGACGGGAAGAGAGGAGGAACAAATGAAGAATCCAGGATATGATTTATAATTGTTGTTTAACATGCAACTATAAGAATGTTATGCAATGTGCAGCAAAACGCAGAGAGCTCAAGATAATGTTTTAGTAATATGAGAGAAAACAGCATAGGACCGAGTGTGAATGATCTCATGTATTCACACCAGAGATCCAGCACAGTATAAAAAAAACTCCACTCAGACCTGTTCAGTCCCTGGAACAGAAACAAAAAAAGGTCATCCTCTGCCAGTTGGTTTGTGGACTGCCAAGTATGTGGGTATCTTACCCACTGGGGGAACTCATGCTGAAAATGTGTGCACACATGTCACATTAAAACACTTCAGCTGAGCTTCCCTCCAAAAGCCGCTCGGCTTCGCTGCGGTTTGAGGTACATTTCATCTCAGCCGGCTTCATTAAATGTTACGTACAGTTCAGATAACAAATAAGAACTCCAGACAGACCTCTTTATTCTCTCCAGGAACATATTACTACATTCCCTCCTTCCTTGAACGGATACTTAAAAAACAAACCAAACAAATAGGAGCCCATATTCAGGCTGTCTGTATTTGTCAGGATTATAATATTCCCCAAGAGCTCCTGAGTCATCTCAGAGTAAATAAAACATCATGTTTTTACTCTTCAGACAATAAAATCCCTCTATAGACTTCTGAAACTGACAGTGTTTGTTGGATGGTTTAAACATTTTGAGGCAGAAGTGATCACTTACAGCTGCCTTTGTTTAAGCAACGCGTGCCTCAGGGATCGATCCTGGGGCCCCGCTTATCGTATACGTGTATTGATCTTGGTCGGAATGCTCTCAATGCAAAGTCCTACCCTCATGAGAGGTAAACAGCTGTGAATGATTGCTGGAAATCGAGAAAAATATGTGTGAGTGGCAGGCAGAAAATGGATATTTATGCAACTGAAACGAAAGGTGACCTCACTCTGTTCGTCTGGCTCGTAATTCTATTTGTGTCTCACCCACTTTGTGAATATTCAAAAGCTCATCTCAAAATCCCTTTTGGCCTTTTGTTTAAGATTTCTAACGCAAAAATATATGTAACTCTCACTTTATGTGTGCCAAGCCTCAACCGCACCTCGTTTCACACGAGCCGGGGCTATAATCAGCCCTGATAAGTTAAACTGTTCTCTCAATCAGCATCTCGGTTCACATGTGAGATGAATAAATGCATAAAATCTTCACTTTTGCCTTTTACAATACAGCCAATTGCTATTCAGTGCACTTGGATCTCAACTTGCCTTTTTATTCCTGAAGCCCTTAGGGTTGTTGTTTTTTTTTTTGCTATCCCGCCCACACAGATTATTGATTGCACCCCTATTCACTGTTATTTTATCTGCCCGTGCGCGTGTGTGCGTGCGTGTCTGTGTGAGGTTGGATCACTTCGCCTCTGTGTGTTTTTGCTGTACAAATGGAGTCAATTGATTTGCGGGGGCAACGCTTTCATTTAAATCCACTCTTCTCAGTCTGTTTGGCTGGTAGAGCAGGTGGTCCGAGCAGCCTGTGCGTCCCACATGAAAAGGGAGAGGAGCGCCCTGACAGCGGCTGGACCTGTCCACGGACTGAGAGCGCTCGCCGACGGGATGCCCGCGAGAGACTGACCGTCTGACCGCTGCCCCTGTGAAAATCCCACTGCGTTTCACACTTTTGATGTTTGACTCGCTTAGAGGCGACAGACTCTGTCTGTGGCTGAAATTTCAGATGATTGAATGTGGGAGAGAAAGTGCTAAAAAGCGGGTGTAAATAGAGCAATAGCAAAACGACAACTGTGTGGGAGATAGTACAGACGTCTTTCTGGTCTAAGACTTCCCATTTCAGCACACCTGGTTCTTAACGGGTTTCAACGTCGGATAAATAAAGAAATACCACCTAAAATGAGGAAAGGTATGGGAAAAAGGGAGGTGCAATCCGTCAAACTGTAGCTGCAATAATTTGGGTTACTGTTTTCTGTGGGGCCTTATCTTCTATCTGACTGGTCATAAAGTACTTAGAGTCTAGATATCTGTGTTTTTTGTGTCTCTATATTAGCATTCGTATTTTTTTCATTGAACACATCGTAAAGACATTCATTGCATATCGTGTTCACTTAGTTTTTTAAGAATTGTAATGGATGTTATGACCTGAAATGGAAATCCTCTGAACTGAAACACACTGTGCTTTCTTTCCCGTAACTGCACAGTTATGAGAAGTTTACCCGTTGTGACCTTAAATATAACTTGAGCAAAGAAACAAGAAAGCTCTCTGAGTTGCTGCAGGCATCTTCAACCCCCCCTAAATGTAAATCACATATTCTAAAGAGCACTTGTGCTAAACAGGAGCCATAATGCAGTGTTTCTATTCTGCCTTCAGCTATAAACTTGTACATCTGATCAGAAACTGACACTAGGCAACACTGTTGATTAAGATCTACACTTTTGAACGAAGCATCTTTAGAGGCTCATTGGTAACGTTAACCATTTAAAACACTTTTTTACTCCTCAATGCTGGCAGAAGCACAGACAATCCGAGCCCGACTCTTTGCCTGACAGTTGCCGTTCACACATGTTCCTGACAGCAGGAGATTTTCTGCAGAACTAGCTCACAGCTGGAAATCAGAGGGAGGGGTTCGGAGGAGAACATCTGTCAAAACCGGGCAGGGTGTGATGGAAAAAAATGTGCTGTGGAAATTGTTTTTCATACGGCATGTGGAGCTGGGAAATGGAAAGGTGACTGTTTGGTGTTGATATTAATACTGAATGTATTTGAATGTGTTAAAGGGGTTCTGAACGTTACATAACGTCAGCCGAAATGACTACCAGCATATTTGCTTCCTCGGTTTTGGTCTATTAACGGTTCCATTCTCACTTCATGTCACTCTTAGATCTTTTAGAGATATTCATAGAGCTAGCTGTGAAATCTGCATGAACTGAAGAGACATTTCTATGTGTAAAGACTGTGTAAAAAAGCCTCCTCTAATTGTCCAAACACATGCATCTTAGAAGAACTGGTGGCTGTGTATTGTCCCCAGATGGGAGTGTGCATGGCTGTTGGTCTCATGTGTCTCTGTGTGACCCCGTGATGTGCCCCCCAGCCCCCCACACGACCCTGACTGGGATTAAGCGGGTACAGGAAATGGATGGACAGATGATGCCGAGCCCAGAAATCCAATCAAATTCAAGCCTGCTGCAAATATCAGCAGATCATTCTTCTAATGGCCCCGGCTTCTTGTGATTACTGAGGTCCTAGCCACATTAATTTGATACCCACAACGTTAAATACTGCATGACAACAACAAAACATTAACAATGATAAAGATGAAGTCAAATATCCAGAGCATCACTTTCACTTGTCCAGTGGCAGATGGGTTTTCCTTTTAGAGTTTCTAAGTGATTTTTTTGGTTTTGAAATGCAAAAACAAGCCAGTTTTTTGCGTTACCTGGGCACGGAAGGACGCAGCTCTCGCTCAGCCGGATCTGCGTCTCTCCGCTGACCACCTGCTCCATGCTGCTGCACAGCTCCTCGTCCACCAGGCTGCCCTCGCCGCCGCTGGAGCCGTCCGACACGAAGCAGGACAGGTTCCTGTAGCGCGTGCCGTGTCCGCACACCACGTTCTGACGAGGGAGAGAAGGGACGACTTGTAATAAACCATAAAAGTTTCATTAAAGCTGGCTGTCGTAGCATCTTTGTGATATCTGAGGAGACGGAGCACAGAGAGAAAACCCTGCAGAGGGTCCATTTTCAACCAAACTGCATTTTGTTTTATTTAAGCACACGTACCTTTGACACATGATTATCAACGCTTGTCCTTTAATACTGTTAAATGGGATGAGCTAATGATTTGGGATGAATTACAACATCTCCAAGTTTCCCCTTCAACCCGCATCCGTGCTTACAAAGTTTTGCTTTAGGTCATAAATCATTGGAGTAGACCCTTTTATTAATCCAACCTGAAGGTACACAATGCATAACGAATTGCTTGGCCTGCCAAATTTCTTGGCAAAGGTATTGGTTTATAAAATCAGCATTAAATATGCATTAGATTGATTCCCGCTGTCCGTCTCCCGCTATTACTGTGCTATTACCCCGAGAATGGATTTGATGAAGTTGTCCGTCAATACTAAAGAGTCCATTATTTTCGGAAAAGCTCTCCTTTTGGCTTAAACTCCCCTGCGTATTGATCTTTAGGGGGGCCGTCAAAGTTGCCCTTCGTTTTTATGCCGGAGGCCGATGCGGTTACTGATATTCAACGTTCCCGGGGAAAAAAAGGAAATGCTCTGTCGACTAACCTCCACCCGGCATTCGGACCAGGAGCCGTACTGCCAGCGGTAGCAGGGCCGGACGGGGCAGGGCTTCCACTGCTCGATCTGGGACGGGCACGGCCGGCCGTCGCCCTGTGAGGCCTGGACCACCGCCCGCTCCCGCCGCATCTTACCTGGGGAGAAGAAAAAAAAACAGGTCGTCAGCGCTTCGTTCTTTTTTTTTTTTTTTTGCCACCTTCCTGTGCTTGTTTCTTACGTCCCGGTCAAACTGTGTCATTGATATGCAGCTTTCCGCACTCTGAAATTGAATGTAAACTCTTGTCTGTGCGTTCAGACAAATGTAATTGTGTTTATTTAGTTCCCGAAAACCACATTACAGTTCACGACAGTGCTTCAGTTAATAGAGCACAAGTGCAGGTCGTAGAAAAGCTACTCTGCCGTTTTGATTGGTTCTCGGTCAGCTGGAGAATAATGGCTTTTATTCGACATCAATCGCGAAATTCTGTTTGAATAAATCCAACACTTCACAGACCCTTGGAGACTAGTTGAAGAGCGGAGTCGAAGCTGGATTGTCTGTAAGACTACTCGGGGGTCCTTCATACACGTTTCAAAATGCAACCCTCCTGTCTACGTCCTTTAAAATAACCATCCTCGAATCTCAGAACTTGAATATTCTACTTCATTCTCTCACTGTCTGATCACCTCAAAATTCACCTCGGCAAAACCGACAACACATTTCAACACACGCAACGCGAAATCTGCCTTCCCACACGCTCAAACACACACACAGTTAAAGCTGATATTCCGACGGGAGAACTTCCCACACGTTCTTAGACACACACATACAAAGACACATCAAATAACCCCCCTCCCTCCCTCCGTTCCTCTCGCCTTAGTTAACCTGGAGTCTTATTCTCTGTGATTTAACAACCAGAGCAGTTCCCTTTTCTTCACAGTGCCCCCCAGGAGCAGGAAGACGGTAGATAATGAAATGAGCGAACCTCCGGAACAACAACCAGGCAAACAGGAGGGAAGATTTCCGCTGGACACCACGAAACTACAACAACAGCTTTCTCTGAAAAACGCTTGTCAATTTATTTTTTCCGGACAAATTTCTCCGCTGGAAGCAGGAATCCGCTGCTGAGAAGGCGTGATTTTACCCGACCAGGCTAGGAATTGGGGCCGTCTGGAGTTTTTTTGGGTGCGAGGCCACGCACATCTGGAGGTACTCAAAATCATTCCACAACATCTGGCAGAGTTTTCGTTTTAGTGATTCAGTTTGAATCTCTGACCGGAGGCTGAAAAAACAGTTATATTTAAGGCCTTTTAGCCAAAATTCACATTTAAATGTTTCTGAGCATCTTCTGACCCACATGGTTAGCTTTGCAGCTTTGGCTGTCCAGTCGATTTGGGCCAATGTCCTGCAGTTTTGCTGCTTAGAAATGACCCCCTAAACCGGACTCAGAACGTCTGATCCGTGCATTTGTCTCCAGCAGGTGAGACTACTGTAACGGGCCACTTGGGCCTCTGCTCAGGGCTTCCTGTCGGTCAGAAAACAGACTTTAAAGCAGCTCTGCTCGTTTGCTCTTCACGGTCCGGCGGCAAAGTCCATCTCTGGCATGTTAGAGCCGCGTGAACCTGGCCGGGACTCTAAAGGAGCTCAGGTTCTGGTCTCCTGCTGGTGCCCAGAGTCGGAACCAAACTAGGGGAGCCTTCATTTCAGTTTTACGCTCCAAAAACCTGGAAAAGTCTTCCCGAAGAAGTGAGAGGCCTCAACCCTCAGAAAAACATTTATTTAGCTCTGAATATGACAACTGAAGGTATTTTGTCTGCACTCTTCACTTTTAATCCATTTAATCAAATAACTCTATTTGTTTTATTTTGTTTATTGTTCATTTCTGCTTTTAAACATTTACTTTTTAATCAAATTTCTGTCTTAAATTTTTTCTGTAAGGCGTTTTAATTGTTTCAAACATGAATTGTGCTTTACAAATACATTTGCCTTGCTTTGCCTCTGTGATTAATTACAGGTTTGCGGCCTTACTCTTGTTTTGCTGCTTTTTTTTTACGCCAGGGGCAGGTCTTTAGACGATAAAAAGTCGATTCTCACCCTCCAGTCCGCAGGTCTGGGAGCACTCCGACCAGGATGACCACTCCGACAGCTGACAGTTGACGGGGCACTCCACCACGCAGGAGACGTTCATCTGCCACTTCTTCTCCAGACTCAGCTGCGGCACACGTTCACAACGGGAACAGCGTTATTTCCAACTGTTTTCCTCATCACGGGAGACCGGCCGTTCCTCGGAAAAAACGGAAAAACGCCCGTCCGGATTCACTGAGACATTGTCTGGGATAAAAGGGCCAGCAGAGCTAGAATATCTGTGAAAGCCATTTTGACAAATTGCAGTTTTGTGAATGAGCCAGACGATGAGAAGGGGGCCAAGGGTTAAAGAGCTGTGGGGATGGCTCTGCCACAGCCCGTCGGCAACAATTACAGAGAGCCGGGACACATTACGAATGAGTAAAACGCTCAGGCCCCGGAGCCACAAAAAACAATCTCTGCGAGGGGGGGAATCGCTGTGAATATTTCATGGTTGCTGAGAGCCTGGAGGAACTGGAAAGGGGTTAGGGGTAATATAATGTAATGAGACGGGTAATTAAATCAACAAGAAAAGAGTGCATGTCAAAGAGGAGCCGGGGAGTGGGTGGATTCCTGCTGATCTCACCTCCTCGCAGAACTTGATGTCGACAGATTTGCCGTCGCTGCGCACGCAGTCGAGCATCCGGGTCTTGATGCCGCTCCCGCACACGGCGTTAGGGCTCAGCTGACAAGTGCTCCAGTCTGAAAAAAGAAACCGAGAGGGTTCAGACTCCCTCTGTGACGGCTTTCAAACCTTTCCAGACAGCGGTAACTGGACTGCAGTGGTATTATGAGCAGGAGGGGCCCATGGACATATTAAAACCACACCTCATCCCGGCGGTTACACTCTCCTTTTTTGCTCCTGAGAAACAGATATTGGTCTTAAATGCATTTTGATATTTACTCAAATTGCATGCATTCAGAAAAGGATGAAAATGATATGCAACTTCATGCCACTACAGAAGATTAGTGGCAAATGAGGTGAAGTACAACTGCAAACTACTTTATTTCCGACTCATTAAGAAAGAAAGTACTTCCGTGAAGTAACTCAGAACATAGGACAGTAAATAGATAAAAATTCACAATAACTCAGTTGCTCTAGCGTTTGACGAATAAACTAACTCAACTGGATTTGTTGTAAAAAAGCTGACATAATTTAGCCTTATTATCAATAAGGAAATAAAGCAAATCATTTGACAAATGTTAGTATATTTGAATTCATTTCCAAAATGACACAGAAAAAAATGAATTTTCTGATAATAACTGAGATCATCATAACAAAGCAGAGTTTCACAGAAAATACTCTTCATGTGCAGTCTCCCTGCTCCAAACCCAATTTTCAAACCTTTTCTACTGATGAATAAAAGCCCTCTTTGCTGCCTTCCACACAAAAACAGAAACGTCTTCTTTCTTTTCAGCATATTTTTACCTCAAACTTGTGCAGAATTCCATTCTCAGGAGAGACCGTATTCATATAAAAGGCTGTTCTCAAAAATAAAAATAATAGAATGACCCAAAGAGCAGAAATGTGACATTGACCCATTCTCCAGCTGTCCTTTCACCCCAGCCATGAGGGCAAGTAAGTCTACCTGTGGCATCTGGATATTGTGAAACTCCTGGAGTTCTTTTGAGTCTGGCAAGCTCTTTCATTACACCAACACAACCTCAGAGAGAGTGCTTTCAATTCTCAATTTAATTTAAGTGTTACTGCCAGCAAATTAAGAGAATCTTTTATTTTAGAATAAATATATATTTACTGAGCTGTTAACTGAGAACAAAGCAGCAAACACTGACGTAAACACTCGTGTGCAGCTGCTCATTTGCACATTCGGGAGCTACAACATTAGCTTCAATGTAAAACTCTTTATTTGCATTATTTGAAATAGCTCCATTCAGGAAACAGTGGCTGTTTACATTCTGTTTCCGACACGCTCGGGGGTCGGCTGACAGATGCTGGACACAGATTCTGCGCGATAACGGCTGTTTGTCAGAACAGAGATGTAACCAACCCAGTTAGAGGCGACAAACCGACACGAGAACCCGTCCGAAAGAGCTGAGCTGTGAAAATACAGCTGTGTTTGTCCTCTTCTGAGCAAATGAATGCAGTGTGTGGTATCCACACTTGAAGAAAACACTTGCTGCAGCAGAGATTTGAGTTTGATTACTTTATAGCTGCGGCTTATCTTGCACACGGCCGCAAAGGTTAGCAAAACATGTTGTAATTCAACCGCTAATCCCCCTCCAAACAAAGTGTACACAGAAACCCAATGTAATGCTTCGCAAATCTCCCGAAGCCATATTTGATTCCCGGTAGA